ATTACAGCACGAAACACTGCAAAAACGCATGATCGCACGGGGCCCCCCAGTGCGCGTCGCCAGTGACTGAAATTGATCTGCAGCGCAACGAAGGCGGTAGGGTTGTCTTTTGCTTCCCTAAGTGAGAGGAAATTGAGCCATCAACTTATAAAAGCCAGTAAGAAAAAAAAACAAACTCAGGAGCGTTATTTCTGAAAGAGTAGCGTTAAACTGCTCAAAATCTATGCGGAGAACATGTCCTGGTTGTGTTTAGAGGAGAATCGTTTCGCAAATAGAAGTGTCAAATGAATGCCGCTCATTTTTGAATCATGGGTATGTACCAGAAAAAAAACTACTTTACTGCAGCATTGCGGAACTTGAGGAAGACTTGGAGCAGGAAAGACAATCTCGTGGCAAATCGGATCGTACTCGAGCGGATTTGCAACGTGAACTGGATGAACTCAGTGAACGGCTTGATGAACAAGGCGGTGCTACTGCAGCGCAAATTGAGCTGAATAAAAAGCGTGAGGCGGAAATGGCTAAACTGAAGAGAGATTTGGAAGTATGTGATTTTGAAAGGATCCTTTGGGTTTTCTCGGACAAATGAAGGAGATGAGTTTTTGGAAAAAGTACCATACCTTCTTTTCCTACCGCTGTTTCTGGTTGTGTGATGTCTCCGATCATTCATGTGAAGTTAGACGTTTCATATAATCCGGTATTTGGCAAGTAGCGTGATATTGCCACTGTCAGTATAATTATTATATCATTATTATCACTATGATTACCAACTAGTGGGTTTTTAATTCTGTGATGATTAGCTAATGGTTTAACGGATGTTGATAACGTTGCAGGAAAACAACATGAATCATGAACTGCAAATATCGGCTTTGCGTAAGAAGCACAACGACGCAGTGGCAGAACTTAGCGATCAACTCGAACAGATGCAGAAGTTGAAAGCAAAATCGGACAAGGATAAAGCACAGTTGTTGCGTGATTTAGAGGAAGCGAATGCAAACGCTGATGCAGAGAGCCGGCAGAAGCAGGAGTTTGAGAAGCAGTCCAAAATGCTTGAAATGCAGTTCTCCGAGCTGCAAACAAAGACAGACGAACAGGTTAGGGCTCGAAAGCATCCGACGAACCTGAATCTCTGTTAATCCCATTTTTGTAGACACCGAAACTTAGAAATATTCTGTTTTATGTATCATCGGAATTACTGAGACAGTCAGCATGTAATTATCGGTCCATCGCAAGTGCTGAACGCTGCTGTGCTAGACACGCTTTTCATGTTAGAGTCACTTTCATTAAGTTTATGATCATGACTTATATCCATGTCCAATTTCTCTGAGAAACAGCCGAGCAATCGCTTTATTTTCTGCGATCATAACGCGTGCGCGAAATCTTTCGTCAACAATGTTTCCATCCATTCCAATTTTATCCCTGTTTTTAATGTTTTTTTTCGAACTTTCGGGCTTTTCTTTTTCTCAACAAAAATGGCAAGACTTTGACGGTCTTTATTCTCACTCCTGATATTTGGCATATCTAATAAAGATTCATGGCGTCAAAAAATAATTTTCAGATTCGTCTCATTAATGATTTCACAGCTCTGAAGGCAAGGCTCACAAATGAGAATGGCGATTTATCTCGACAACTGGAGGATCTTGAAAATCAAGTAATATATCACAACATTAAACACTGTTTATTTTCAGTCTCCGGAAGTGCCGGGAAATTTGTTTACCCCCTATTTGCTCTTCTACTTTTGTCAGAATTTGTTTTCAAGCCACATAAGCATCTAAATTCGACTTTTTTCTGACAAAGTTTTGGTTTCTAGTGTAATTAATGTTACCCAGCGGGTTTTAGTGCTCCATGATTTTTAAACCATCTGGTTGAGGTTATTTAATCGCCCAATTTATTTTACAATTTCTTCACCAAGCTGTTTCAATGCCTACTTCGAAAGGAGGTGTTCGTGCAGATTTTCGTAGATATACTATTGTAACAGATATTTTAATCAGTCTTTTTCAATCTAGTTCCATGAATGGTGCATTGGACATGCAAAAAAATATTTCGAAAGACTACTCGAATAGAAAAGACTACTCGAACAGCGTTTTGAGTTTACCTTTTGCTACAGATAACCGAATTTTGCAGATTAATGGGCTCCATCGCCTGAAAGCTCAGTTGATGAGTCAACTGGAAGAAGCAAAACGCACTGCTGAAGAGGAAGCAAGGTAAACAACATCAAGGTATTGGCTGAGAGAAAGGCTGGTTGGCGGTAGTTGTGTCGCTTTTTTAGGCATGCATTTCGGGTTCTGGGTATTAGTATAAATAGTGATGCGCAAATTTTGCATTTTTCTACACTCTAAACGCCCCAGGGGTTCACAGTGACATCCGAATGACTTTAAATAACAGCCTAGGTCTTCCTGGGCTTCTTGGTCACAATGAACTGGCACAACCATGTTATGGATGCTGTGACTGAAGTAGCCTCTCCTGATGGTCAGTCTCTTTATTATCCCCCGCTTTCCGTTTCTGCTGCTCGGAAAGAGTTGGGTGGTCGTGTTTTTCCCGCCACCTATATGACCCTTCAGTACAACTATCGGCTTCTCTAAGTCCCTTCACTGAATAATGACAGCTAACGTAAGAGGAAGTGTGCTAAGCGTACACGGACTTTAAATATAAAAATATCCTGGAAACCACACTATAAGGCAATTACATAGCCCTCTAAGAATTTTGTAAAGCGTTTCAAGTCCATCGATTTTAGAGAGCGGCAAAATTTGGCTGCACAAGTGAAAAATCTCGAACACGAAAATGATAATTTGCGTGTGCATGCCGATGAAGAAGCTGAGGTAATTATTACCCGCCTCTAGTTCGCCAAAAATTGGCTTTCATTCTGCTTGCTAGCGATGCAATATATTTTTTTAGGGCAAAGCAGAATGTCTTCGTCAAATGAGCAAACTGAACGCGGAAATCCAGCAGTGGAAGGCTCGCTTCGAAGGTGAAGGCTTGGCAAAGATGGAAGAAATCGAAGAAGCCAAGTACGTTTTCGAGTCGCAGGACGCGCAGCAACAATGAAAAAAAAAAGCATAACACAGGGGGCATGTAACCTAGAGTATGCATTATGTAAGGGAAATCACTGTGAATCTTTAACCTCACGAAATCACACAACTCACAAACTCAGTTTGAGTGCTGAACTGATTTCTAGACGCAAGCTAATGCAGAAGGTGCAGGATCTCACAGACGTGAACGAAGCAGCAAACGCAAAGATTATGTCATTGGAAAAAACCAGACACAAGTTAATGGGAGATCTTGACGATGCTCAGGTGAGCCGTCGCTGCTGATTTGAACTACGGCCTCTGCAAGTTTCGACGGCTAAAACAAAAAATGATGGATCCTGTAATACCGGTTTGTTCCAGGTTGACGTAGAACGAGCAGCAGCTTATGCAGCGGCACTAGAAAAGAAGCAGAAAGCATTTGATCGGATAATCGAGGAGTGGAGGAAAAAGTGCGATGATTTGAGCGCTGAACTGGAAGCAGCGCAGCGTGATAACCGCAATCTATCCACTGAACTCTTTAAAGCCAAAACTGCGCAAGACGAACTCCTTGAGGTAACCGTCTGCTTCGCTTTATACTAGTCATGAGTTACCAGTCACTCCGTGTGTATTTTTGATAGTCTTTTGACAGCATACCTTGAATACCTTGAACAGCTGTTGTTTCATCGATCTCTGGTGTCATGCCATCGATGCAGCTGG